AGCCGTGGTGGCGGGCGCCTGTAATTCCAGCTACTCATGAGGCTGAGGCAGGAGAATCACTTGAACCCGGGAGGTGGAAGTTACAATGAGCCGAGATCACCCCATTGCACTGCAGCGTAGGCAACAAGAGCGAAATTCTGTCTCAAGAAAAAAAAAAAATTCAATCAGTCTTGTAATGCCCATGAATTTCACAGTCACAGAACATAATTTTCTTTATTTCTAGTAATAAAATTTATATTTTAACTCTGAGCCCCCACTTCTGGCAGACAGCAGAAAAACTCCCATCTAATCATAGCCACAGCCAGTCGACTTGATCCAATTTAGCACTTTCTAAGTTGCTTCTGGTTAAAATTCAGGAATATTCAGAATATTTCCCCTTGATTCCCCTCCTTTCCTTCTATTGTTGCTGGAAGCCATTGCATCTGGAGAGGCAGTCAGGGGAGTCAGGCAGACCTGTGTTCTTGACTCAGCCTTCCTCTGCTGTCTGAGCTTTGACCCCAGGGGATTGGACACAGTGCTGTTGGGATGGAAACGTGGATCTGTGGGGTGGCTCCCACCTGGCTCTCTGATATGAGCTGAGCCTTCAGCCTGTTCCAGTTTCTGGAAGGAACTGTTCACTCTGCAGCCCCTGCCACAGGGACCCTTATCTCCAGCCAGGCACATCTGTCAGGCTCTGAGAATCAATCTCTGTCTGCTTCTTTTTCTCTCTCAGCTAAAGTGGGCATCCCTCAGGCTGTGCAGGGAACTCCTGACCCCATCACTCCCCAGCGGGAGCAGGAGCTGCTGTCTCTGCCCATTCTTCTTGCCCTGGTGACATGGGATGTGTCTCTGAGGCTGCTTCCTTAATCACAAAAGAAGGGAAGCAGGAAGCAAGTGTCTTCCTAGATCCTCCCAAACTTGGTGGAGAAGCCTGTGTGGGCCCCAGCTCCCACCTGACAGACACACTGTGGCCTTGTTCTGGGAGTGGAGCACCAAACACATGGCCTCTAATTGCTCATAATGATTTTTTCCTCTCCAAATCCTTTCCTTCTCCCCAGTTTGGATGGGGTGGTAGAAAAAAACTTGCCAGTTGATATCTCTTTTCAAAACTATTTTTGTCGCTCTTTTGAACTAGAACCAAGATTCTGGAATCTGTTTGCTGTTTTTATTTTTCTTCCTGACAATTGTCCCTGGGACAAGTGGTAAACTGGCCAGCCCATATCTCTTGGAATATGGGTTTAGGGATGGAGGCAGGGCGGTGGAGAGAGGGGCACATCAGTCAGCAAGCTCTCATATTATCCTGGCAGAGAGCAACCAGATCTGACTCATCAGTCAAGGCCCAAGCCGATTTCTCACTTCCTGGAGATTCCAGCTGGTTTTTTTCAGCTGCCTTCCCAGCCTTGGGAAGGTCTGCTATGCTTAGCCACTGCAACTGATGAGGAGCAGAGCATGTCCTTGGTTTAGGGAGCGGGGGGTTGAGGGGGTGAGATAACCTTGTTTTCTAGGGCGAATGGGTAGAAGAGTGTTCACTGTTTTTTAACACATTGAAAAATCCAAATATGAGGTTACTCTTTCCGTCTTTTAATGTTATTCCTAACAGCCTCGATTAGAGTATTAATGAGGAATCCCTTGAAATATACATATAATATGTCACTATCTGTTATATATAATGCCAAGACATTATTATTATTTTTATTGTTATTTTTGAGATAGAGTCTCTCTCTGTCGCCCAGGCTAGAGTGCAGTTGCACGATCTCGGCTCACTGCAACCTCTGCCTCCTGCATTCACGCGATTCTTGTGCCGCAGCCTCCTGAGTAGCTAGGATTACAGGCGCCTGCCACCACGCCTGGCTAATTTTTTTTTTTTTTTTTTAAAGTAGAGATGGGGTTTCACCGTGTTTACCAGGCTGGTCTCAAACTCCTGACCTTGGGTGATCCAACTACTACTCGGCCTCCTAAAGTGCTGGGATTACAGGTGTGAGCCACCGCACCCAGCCAAGAGATTAATTGTGTGTCATATTTTATATACAATTATATAGTTGTATATGATGTGTGCCCACATATATTTCTCTAACAAACTTCTGATTGGATGTTTTTAGGAGCTGGCTATTTGGTCTTGGTGCTTACTGTTTCTTACTTTCTTTGGGTCTACTTTCTTTCCCAAATCTTGGAAATCCATCGGTAACATAGGATCTAGATTCTAAAAAGAAGCAGGAGGGTTTCAGACCAGGTGCTCCTGAGACCAAAGTGAAAGCTGGTCTTCCCTTAACTGCCACAGCCAGCTCCAACCTGCTAGTCCTGTTTCTCCAAGAGAATCTGTTGAGGCCACTCTGTTCTTCACTTTCTGAGCTGGGCTTTTGATGGCTTCCCAGCACTTGGCCTCAGGCATTCAGCTTGTTTTTCTTTTATCTTTAATGCTGCCCCTACTTACCCACTTGGGGTTCTTTTCATCCTAAAGATTACCTATAGAAATAAACAGGGACTCGCTGCAGGTTTTTTTCAATGTCACCCCCCTTGAGAAGTCCAGACTCTGTGTTTTAAGGGTGTTAACTTTTTTTTTTTTTTTTTGAGATGGAGTTTCACTCTTGTTGCTGAGGATGGAGTGCAATGGCGTGATCTTGACTCACTGCAACCTCTGCCTCCCGGGTTCAAGCGATTCTGCTGCCTCAGCCTCCTGAGTAGCTGGGATTACAGGCATGAGCCACCACGCCTGCCTGATTTTGTATTTTTAGTAGATATGGGATTTCTCCATGTTGGTCAGGCTGGTCTTGAAATCCTGACCTCAGGTGATCTGCCTGCCTCAGCCTCCCAAAGTGCTGGGGTTACAGGCGTGAGCCACTGTGACCGGCCTGGGTATTTACTTTTAACCACAGGACATAATACATTGCTGAATTAATAAAAAGTTCACTCTTACTCTTCTCCACTTTGAGAGGCTCTGGGGGGAGCTTATCTACAAACCCCCTTTGCCCTCTAGTTCCCAGTTGGGTTTGGCCAATGGGAGGCACAAAAGGCAGTCAAGGACTGGGAAGAAAGTGAGACTAGGATGTTTATTCCCCTTTCCCATCCCTAGGAAAACTGTGTTTCTCTATTCAGTACCCAAGACCACAGCTCTTTTCATGACCCTGGCCTACTGTTCCTGTTCCAGCTCTCTTTGGTTTGGGTAACCACTCCCTCCCTTTGGGCTTCCAGTCTAGGGCTGGTGATGCCTCATCCTCCTGGTTGCTAACTGTTAAGTTCTTTAATTTTCTCTTCCCCTCATGCCACTCACATTTTGCAAATAGCCAGACAGACTCTTATTAAAGCCTCCTCAGTTACCTCTTTGAGCTTACTGTCTACTTCCTCCCAGGAGCCCAGTCAAATCCATGCAGGTCCCTGGGCTGGCTTGCTCCTGGAGGTGTGTCTAAACTGTAGCCCAGCGGTATTTGTAACCCCTGGCAGCTTTGTTAAAAATGCAGAATGTTAGATTCTGCCCCAGACTTCTTGACTCAGAGTCTGCATTTTAACCAGACTCCCAAGTGATTTATATGCACCTAGAGATTAAGAAGCACTGCTTTAGGGAGCAAGTAGCCAGGAGCCTGGTTGGGTTTACATGTTCTGAATGTAATCGCTTTCATTTCTGGGGAAAGCCCACAACTTTTCTTGCTTCTCCTGTCCTGTCTCCAACCTCTTTCCTACCCTCCACCACGGAGCAAAGCTCACAGTCCTCTTCTCTCTTTCCTTATTTATTCCACAAAGTGTTACTGAATCCATTCTAAACTCCAGGCAAGGTGGTAGATGTTAAGGACACAAAGAATAAGGAAGCATGTTCCTGCCCTCAATTCAATTTAGTGAAGGAATGAAGACATGATCATAGTCAATTTCAGTGCAGTAGGAGGTACATCACAGAGATGGGAACAAAATGATGTGAAAACAAAGGCCAAACTTACCCAAAGTTCCTTTGCTTGATGAATGTTAAATCCCTCTGTGAAATTCTTTGAAATGTATTGTGTTTTCTAATTTTAGTCACATGTGAAAATACTGAGTAAAGATATCTGATTTTAATCCCCTGTCCTCAAGCTTTATTCGAGTGTCACGTTTGACAAATAGCAGTATCTCTCCCAAGAACAGCTAGCAGTCCGTAGAGTCAGAGCTGTTTGTACTGAGGCAGCTGCTGAGCAGCAAATGCCTGTGGGCAGCCAGAGCCTGAGGAAATTAAGGAGCTGATTTTTTTTTTCCAAAAGGAAATTCGTGGAGCAAACACCAAAGGATTCTCTCGTAAGCTGTCTTTGGAATTAATTTCAGTGCTTGTTAAAACACCCAAATCCCTCTTTCAGAAGGATTCTCTGATGACTTCCTAATTAGGTTCTCTTCTTTTATCATCTGCAAGGAACACTCCCCATTCGAGTCCCTGCATAGTTCACATAAGCGAAATAACACAGATTCCAGATTGCCTAAGCAAGAGTGGTGGAACACTCTTTCATATCATTTTAACTTTTAAAGAAAATACTGGCTTAGGGCTTTGAATATTAATTTAACTGTTCATTCATTCATTCAAGAGGACCAGGTGCGTCACTCAAAATTTAACTCTTCCCTCCTTCCTGGCACTATCACTCAGTGGTAAAGACAGCTCCATCACTCTGGGTTCCTTCTTTCCACCTCCAATGCATCTTTCTACCTCCAGTGTGTCCTTCTTTATTTTTTATTTATTTATTTTTTATTTTATTTTATTTTTTGAGACAGAGTCTCGCTCTGTTGCCCAGGCTGGAGTGCAGTGGCCGGATCTCAGCTCACTGCAAGCTCCGCCTCCCGGGTTTCCGCCATTCTCCTGCCTCAGCCTCCCGAGTAACTGGGACTACAGGCGCCCGCCACCTCGCCCGGCTAGTTTTTTGTATTTTTTAGTAGAGACGGGGTTTCACCGTGTTAGCCAGGGTGGTCTTGATCTCCTGACCTCGTGATCCGCCCATCTCGGTCTCCCAAAGTGCTGGGATTACAGGCTTGAGCCACCGCGCCCAGCCCAGTGCCTCCTTCTTTGGCCCAGCAATCCCTTAGATCAGCACAGTTGCTTCCTCCTCTTTGCTTCCTTAGTTTGTGAGCACCCGGGACTTGGGTTGGCATCTGTGCATGCCTGCAGGAATTGATGCCCTGACTGTGGTCCTGTGCCCCTGCTATGTTGTAACCCTTATTGTATGATAAATGACTAAACCAACCAGCAGGTTTTGAGAATTCCAAGGAAGTGGGTGCAGTTGAGAAACTGAGAAAGGGATGACTGTGCCTGTGATATATAAATGAGCTTCCATGTAGATATGAGCACTAGACTGAGATGGACATTTTCAGGCTTTACTTAGTTTTCCAGTGACTAATACCACACAGTGATAGTGCATGAAATTAGCTTAGTTGGTCAATATCTGCATTTGAAAAAATGAAATAGAAAAGGAAATAGGTCAGAGTATATCACACATAATAAGACTGCTTCGTGAAATTTTTGTTACATAGATGAGGTATGTGTGTGTACTGGGTAGAGATCTAAATTGTGTTTCTTCATATGGGTTGACATTAAACATTTTTTGGAAAACACTCCCTGAGGAAGTGTCTGTTTGAAATTAGGAGAAGTTTTATTGGGAGGAACAATTGGGAGGGAGGTTTGGGAGAGGAAACGTCAGTTGAACAAAACAGTATTTTGACATGGAGTGACCAAGGCAGTGATTTCCAGAGTTATTAATTTGTGCAAGCTAAACTGCAACTAGACATTAGTCCCATTGGGTCGTAAGCTTATAGATTACACCTTCTTCATTTTTTTCTATTTTATTTTTCCCTTTCTTTAGTTTTTAGTGAAGGATGTTTTGACAATTTATCCTGTCGTATATACTTAAAGAAAAATTTAACTATGCCAGTCTAAAAGGGCTAGGTGTATACCCAGATCAAGATAAGTTGGTGTCAATGAGGATGAAAATGTGAGAACGCAATGGAGAAGAGCAGTCCATAGGAAGGAACAGTGGAGCTCAGTTTTTCTCGCCACTCTCTTCTCCCACCATTCGGGGTCTCCACCATCGTCCCACCGTAACCTTCCAACCACACGCCCCCCAGCATGCCTTTTTGGGATGTGCTGACCACTTCATTCTTTGAAACCATTATTCCAGTGTCCTTGCTATTGACAGGTGAATCCCTGAAAAAAATGATATAAGACCGTACCATTTAAAATTTGATGGAAAGATCAATACAAATTATCCTCACAACAAGAACTGCCATTCAAAACTTTTAAAGCGACCACTAGAAAGATGGCGGAGCAAGAGCAGAGAAAAATCCCTTTGGTTCCAGAAAATCTGCTGCAAAAGAGGAAGGCTTGTCAAGCCCTCCAAGCCACCGAGGCCAAACAGGCAAAGAAGAAGCAGAGGAAAGGAAAAAGGCTCAGGTTTAAGGGACTGGAATCATTCTTCCGTGATTCCTGGTGGCAGAAACGTGACAAGGTGCATCTCAGACGACTAGAAGTGAAACCTCACACCTTGGAATTGCCAGATAACGTTCCCTGGCCTTTGTTGTACGCATCGAAAGGATTGATGGCGTGAGTTTACTGGTGCAGAGAACCATTGCAAGACTTCGCCTAAAGAAAATTTTTAGTGGTGTCTTTGTAAAAGTCACCCCCTAGAACCTAAAAATGCTGCGTATAGTGGAACCTTATGTGACCCGGGGATTTCCAGATCTGAAGTCTGTCCGAGAACTCATTTTGAAACGTGGACAAGCCAACGTCAAGAATAAGACCATCCCTCTAACAGACAACACAGTGATTGAGGAGCACCTGGGGAAGTTTGGCTTCATTTGCTTGGAAGACCTCATTCATGAAATTGCCTTCCCAGGGAAGCATTTCCAGGAGATCTCATGGTTCTTGCGCCCTTTCCACCTCTCAGTGGCCCGTCATGCTACCAAAAATAGAATGGGCTTCCTCAAGGAGATGGGCACACCTGGCTATCGGGGTGAACGCATCAATCAGCTCATCCGTCAGCTGAACTAGACCCAGGTGTCAAACTGTGGTAAATTTTTATCAATGAAGTGGAAGCATGTGTTTAATTGTTTTGGGAATTTTTATCAAGTATCTTCAGAGAAGATTATTTCCTGCTTTATCTTCAAAAACCGGAAAGGAAGGGTCAAAGAAAAGACAATAGCTGGCCAGGCGTGATGGCTCACGCCTGTAATCCCAACACTTGGGAGGCTGAGGTGGGCGGATCACCTGAGGTTGGGGGTTCGAGACCAGCACGACCAACATGGAGAAATGCCGTCTCTACTAAAAATACAGAAATTAGCCGGGCATAGTGGCATATGCCTGTAATCCCAGCTACTCAGGAGGCTGAGGCAGGAGAATTGCCAGGTGGAGGTTGCAGTGAGCTGAGATCATGCCATTGCACTCCACCCTGGGCAACAAGTGAAACTCCATCTCAAAGAAAAGAAAAGACAGTAGCTTATGTTCATGGCAAGCACCTCTCATCACAGTCCAGTTCCAAGGAAAAATTCCAGTGTTTTCTGCATTGGGTGCTGCATCGTCTGAAATCAGCACATTCTGTGGAGGAAGGAGTCCTGCTTTGTTGCATCTATCTTAGGGTTTAATGTTGGTAAATGAGTCACTCTAGCATTTGTACAAGGCTCCCTAAGACTCCTGCAGCAGTTGACCAAGCCCAGGGACATAAGTGAATCTGGAGAGTCCTAGGACCTTGTTTTGAAAAACACTGAAAATACACATAGGAAGAAAGGCATACAAATAAATGTTCACTTGTCTCTGCAAAAAAAAAAAAATTTTTAAAGCCTACTTGGCTATGGCTGAATTCGGCAGTATATTAAATTATTTAACTAGCTTATAAAAGCTATTTGCTGGGGAAAAAAAAACCCCTAAAATAGCCAAATTTTCTTTTCTTCTTTTTTTTTTTTTTTGAGACGGAGTCTCCCTCTGTCGCCCAGGCTGGAGTGCAGTGGCCAGATCTCCGCTCACGCAAGCTCGCCTCCTGGGTTTAGCCATTCTCTGCCTCAGCTACCCAGTGCTGGGACTACAGGCGCCCGCCACCCGCCCGGCTAGTTTTTTGTTATTTTTTAGTAGAGACGGGGTTTCACTGTGTTAGCCAGTTTTTTGTATTTTTTAGTAGAGACGGAGTTTCACCGTGTTAGCTAGGATGGTCTCTATCTCCTGACCTCGTGATCCACCCATCTCGGCCTCCCAAAGTGCTGGGATTACAGGCTTGAGCCACTGCGCCCGGCCTCCAAATTTTCTTTTCAGAGCTCAGCTTCTTACTAGCAAATTTTTTTATTCTCTAGGCTTTTCCCTTTCGCCTAAAAATATTGCAATGTTCTCATGTGATCATTCATTCATAATTGAAGTTGGGGCCAGGCGCGGTGGTTCATGCCTGTAATCCCAGCATTTTCGGGAGGCTGATGAGGATGGATCACCTGAGGTCAGGAGTTCGAGACCAGCCTGGCCAACATGGTAAAACCCCATCTCTACTAAAAACACAAAAATTAGGCAGGCGTGGTGGTGGACACCTGTAATCCCAACTACTGGGAAGGCTGAGGCAGGAGAATTGCTTGAACCTGGGACGTGGAGGTTGCAGCGAGCCAAGATCGCGCCACTGCACTCCAACCTGGGCGACAAGAGTGAAACTCCATTTAAAAATAATAAAAAGAATTGAAGTTGCCCTTGTAAATGTATTTTGAGGATAAGAAAAAAAAAATAAGAATCAGCATCTCTTGAGTGAAGAAAGTTATTTAAACTACATTCTTATTATTTACTTTTCCTTTATACCAATAATGTATCATTTGCTTTCATGTTTTAGGTAGAGATCATCAATGAGAATGGTTTTTAAGACTCTTTTTTTTTTCAGGGCTGTAGTCTGTAACTGGGGAAATCTTTCATGTAGATTGGTGGTTTTCAACAGTGGAAGGAAGTTTAAAAAATGCGTTCTGTCTGAGCCCCAACCCCTGAAATTCTGATTGTTTTTATCTAAGATAATATAGCATAATGCCTGTGGCACAGACATTAAGACTTTACAAAGCTGTGATGTGCAGGCAAAGCAATGGCACTTTGAATTTTAATCTGGTGGGTTGGCTTTCCATAGGTGTCCCCATGGGTGTTTTCTGTTTCACTTTCCAAAAACACAGTTTTAACCAATGTCATCATTCTCTATTAAAAGTGTTAGACACAACTCTCAAAGACGACTGTATTTTAAATATACAGGTACAAGAGACTTCTTAATGTAAAAGTTTAATTCCAACTTTTTAAATAATCTAACTGCTGTCCATCACAGTTGGATTGACAGTTGGATTACTCCAACTGTAATTTCCTCTTTAACTAATTTGAGTAGTTCTGCTTTGTTCCGTGTATTCTGGTTCATTCTGCCTTTTGTCTCGTCAGAAAATACAGGTTGGCTTCAGTTTCTCCTGGCCTTGAGGCATCTGTGTGTCCGTAGTTGATAAGGTCTGGATCTGTGTCCCTGCCCAAATCTCATGTTGAATTGTAATCTGCAGTGCTGGTGGTGGAACCTGGTGGGAGGTGATTGGATTGTGGAGGTGGAGTTCTCATGAACAGTTTAGCACCACCCACCCTTGTTACTGTATAGTGAGTGAGTTCTCGTGAGATCTGGTTGTTCCAAAGTGTGTAGCACCTCCCTCAGCCCCTTCCTCCTGCTCCGGCCAGGTGACGTGCTAACTCCCCCTTTGCCTTTTGCCATGATTGTAAGTTTCCTGAGGCCTCCCCAGAAGCCAAGCAGATGCCAGCATCATGCTTCCTATACAGCCTGTGCAACTGTGAGCAATTAAGCGTCTTTTGTTTATGTAATAAATTACCCAGCCTCAGGCATTTCTTTGTAGCAATGCCAGGATGGTGTGCCAGACTGTATCAGAGACAAATGATACAAAGATGACCAAGATACAGTATTTTGCCCAGGAAGAATAATTCCTGTGGCCACCTCTGTCTTATATCAAGAGATAAGTGTGAAACAGCATATCCACAACAGTGTTTGTGAAGACAGTGTGAGTGGCTCCCAACTCTACCAGCAAAGGCTTCAAAGGAGTAATGACATTTGAATTGAGTCTTAAAGGATAAATGTATTATTTGGCCTGACAACGCAGAAGAAAAAGACATTTTTGTCAAAGGTATCAATCTTGTAAAAATGCCACAGTTCATGACTTGTACCAGTGAAAGTAGCAAGGTCTGTGTGTTGGTGATGAATTTGCAGGGGATGAGTCTGAAGAAACAAGACTTGGGAGAGAGGGTGTGAGACCTTTTTATGACATGCATAGAGTTGGCACCTCAGCCTTTGCATGGTAGGGAGCCAGCCGAAGGCTACCTCCATGACAGATCTACGCTTTGAAAAGACAGGCTGGGTGCAGTGGTCAGGAGTTCGAGACCAGCCTGGCCAACACAGCAAATCCTGATCTCTACTAAAAAAAATAAAATAATTAGCCAGGCATGGTGGCGCACACCTGTAATCCCAGCTACTGGGGAGGATGAGGCAGAAGAATTGCTTGAACACAGGAGGCGGAGGTTGCAGTGAGCCGAGATTGTGCCACTACACTCCAGCCTGGGCAACAGAGCATGACTCCGTCTTAAAAAAAAGGAAGATACAACTAATCTATATTCCTTTTCACCAGAGATCACCACCACTAACAATTCATTCCAGTCATTTTCCCTGCAGGTTTTACATACGTAGGAAAATTTTACATCCCGATTGTTAATTTAACACTATGAAAATCATTTCTTTTTATAATAAAGACACTCTATTAGTATACTTTTGATGGCTTCAAAATTACTTTTGTATAGATGCAAAATTAAAATATCAATTTTTTTTTTTTTGAGACGGAGTCTCACTCTGTCACCCAGGCTGAAGCGCAGTGGCACAATCTTGGCTCACTGCAAGCTTTTCCTCCCAGGTTAAAGTGATTCTCATGCCTCAGCCTCCCTAGTAGCTGGGACTACAAGTGCACACCACCAACCCTGGCTAATTTTTTGTACTTTTACAAAATACAAAGAGAGACGGGGTTTCACTATGTTGTTCAGGTTGGTCTCGAACTCCTGACCTCAGGCAATCCGCCTGCTTTGGCCTCCCAAAGTGCTGGGATTACAGGCATGGGCCACTGCACCTTGCCTCAAATTGTTTCTTTAATGGTTGTTTCCAAGTTTTCATAAATAACTTTGTACGTAACATTTTTGGGCATAAAGTTGTCTAAAATTATTATTTTCATAGGCTAGATACCTTAAGTACACTTAATGATTTAAATCATACTTAACATTAAGACTTTAATGTTGCTATATTGACTTTTAGTAAAAGTACAAAACTTGTGCTTTAGAGTTTAGACATATTCAGGATATAAGATAGTTTTGTTGGATTTGGTGGACACTTGCCCTAGGAGAATAAAAAATGATGAATTAGTGAAAAATATTCCCGTTTTCTAATTTGCCAGACTCAGTAAATGGTATTATCACCAACCAAGAAACACAGAAGATACAGGGAGAGCAGATTTTGCAGAAAAGATAAGGAGTTCTGTTTGGGACGTGCTGCCTTTGATATACTGCACTGGGAGAAAATCCAAGTAGAACAGAGTGGACAAGTGAAAATGTGCTATGGAATCAACAAGAGGGGTGGGGAGTCCACCTACCTAGATTTGAGAGCAGTTTGGCAAATAATTGTTAGTAAATGTCTTAGAAATTCGTGGGAGAGGGAAGTTGATAAGAACAGAGGGGTAGAGGATGAAACGGAGGAACACTACCACTTCCCAGGGTTGCACTACCACTTCCCAGGGTTGGGTACAAGAGGAGCCAGGGAAACAGACTAAGAAAGAGTGATCAGGGAAACAGGGAGATAGTGTTGTCACGGAAGCCTGGAGTGTGAGATTTTCCAGAAAAGACAGAAAGAAAGAATGAATTGTCTGTAGATCCGTTACTTAGCACGATCAGACACATTGTCCCCTTTTGTTATCCCATAATGAAGTTTATAGATAATGTAATCTACTTGTGCACAAAATTTTAGAAATTAATATAATGCCCCAACTATAATATGAAGTGTATTAGGGTTCTCTAGAGGGACAGAACTAATAGGAGATGTAGCTATATAGAGATATAGATATAGATATATACATATATGTATAGATATAGATATAAAATGGGGAGTTTATAAAGTATTACCTTACACTATTACAAGGTCCCACAATAGACTGTCTGCAAGCTTGAAGAGCAAGGAGAGCCAGGCCGAGTCTCAACACTGAAGAACTTGGAGTCTGATGTTCGAGGGCAGGAAAAATCCAGCACAGGAGAAAGACGCAGGCTGGGAGGCTAGGCCAGTCTCTCCTTTCCATGTTCCTCTGCCTGCTTTATATTCACTGGCAGCTGATTAGATGGTGCCCACCAGATTAAGGGTGGATCTGCCTCCCCCACCCCACTTACTCAAATATTAATCTCTTTTGACAACACCTCACAGACACACCCAGGATCAACATTTATATCCTTCAGTCCAATTAAGCTGACACTCAGAATTAACCATCACATTAAGGAAAAAGTAAAAGGAAAGTATATTTTATATAATAAGTATTTAAATATGTAAACATTGGGACATGACTAAAACTGACTGCACACATTGAAGGAGTCGCTTGGTTGGTCTGATGTGCAGAATTACCATGCATGCTGCAAATGGAGAGGGGTCTGCTGAGCTGTATTGCTTGGGGTGCTGCAGATGACTTGAATTTCCAGAACGGTATTTGAACAAAACAGCGTATAGTGTTTCCCTCAAATTACACTATG